ATTTGTATTTAACCTAGTAAAACAGCAGTTTCTTGAATCTTACAAACAAGCATCATGTTCAATCCTTTAACATAATCTTCCCACCAGTTCAAGAGGAAAAGGAAACTATCTTTTTTCTTATTTGCCTTGTTTTCCTTTTGTATGGAAGCATATGACATAAAACTCAGCCAACAGTGAAGTAATTTTGAGAAAATATTTCCAGCCTAGTCAGATAGTAGCTAGAGCCTTGGCAGTAGTTTTGGATTATGCAGCACACATTTCTTTTTAGATCAAGGTGTACAGATATTATACATGATTAAGGTTTAATGTAAGCAACTCAGAATGAGTGGTGATAACAAAATTCAGATCAAGTAGGAATGAATAACACATCCATACCTATACAAGAACATTTCAAATTTCCAATGCTGATCATTCAATAGATTTAACAGTTGGTTTTATTTTCCCTCATTCATTGAACCTTCTGGTGGACATAAAAAAAGTCGAAAGATATGTAGTAGATGGGAAAAGAAAATAGAGAAGACTTGGAGAATTCCCCCAAAAAGCTCCAGAGCTGGAGCTGGCAAGTGATTGCCTATTGTTGTTCTTGTCTTGTTATTTGTGGTTCTGGGAGCTGAATTCAGGGCCTTCCACATGCTAGACAAGTGTTCTACCACTGGGCAAGTGCTCTACTACAACCCAAGTAGCCCCAATTCTAAAATTTTGAGACAAGGTCTCACTTAGTTGTTCAGGCTTGGCTTAAAGTTGCAATCCTCTGCCTCCACCTCCCAAGTAGCTATGATCACAGATATGCACTACCATGCCTAGGATCTGTCTGTTTTTAATATTTGCATTCTGTTCAGACTGCTCTCAAAGGCTCCATTTTGGTCAAAACTAGGACCTTTCTCACTACTCCACCTCCTAGATTCAGCATGCATTTGAGTACTGATCATATCCTCCAAGCTACCCTTTCTGTAGACTTCAAAACCCAGGGATTTCTGCCTGTTCTGCCTTGACCCATCTTTCTCAAATTTCCTGTTATGCCTTTTAGCCCTGACATTGAAGATGATTTGGTTGTTGTCTTCCTGTGCTACTAGAAATAAAGTTTCCTATTCTCAATAATTATCAACTGTTATTCTACAGTATTATTTGAGTGTCTCTTTTCAATGTTCATCTAACTCTTTATGTCCACTTGGTGTCCTCTTGCTGGTCAGTTTTCCTTCTCATAATCCTGACAGTATTGTATCTGAAAAGTGCTTGGAAGAGTCTCATTGAATATTCTCTGGCTGATTGCCTGACAGTCTTTGGAGAATTCATGGAGGGTTGATCAAAGCAAAGGAGCTTGGTTAAATACAGCTTTTAAAAAACAGCAGACTTTCTTTCTCCCTGATTTGGGGGTTAACACTGTTGCATGCAATCGTATACTGATATCATATTGTCTTTGGGTAAAGGCAGCTTTGTTGTTTAATACTTTTCTTCCTAGCCAGCCTGGTCATTCTTACCACCATTTAACCCCAAGCAGAGACCCCCAGGGAATCTTGGCTGTGGCCAAGTCTGCTATTTGCCCCTATCTCCAGGAGGCTAACCTACTGCTGTGTGATTACCCAGGCATGTTGGACTAATCCTGCTGTAGAGCTGCTCTCCTGGCCTGCTCTCTCCATGTGCATCCCATTCTGCATAAAGGAGAGCCTTAAATGCTTTTCTTACTCAAACGTCATTGTACGGTCTGGCACTTTGAGTCACTGTGACAAAGAATCAGGATTTTTAATCTTATTGTTATGTGTGGAAATGGTGTTCTATGGAAATGTATGCTGCTTTTATCTTGGAGAGACTAGAGAAATTTCATATGTTCACAGTCAACGTTTCTCTTAAGAGTTGGCAAGTAAGAACTTATTTTCCCAAAAGTCTTTTCCTAAACTTTTCAGTTTTGTTTTTAGTCTATTCTTGGAGGAGACCTTCTAAATCTTAAATGCCTGTTCATATAGGACTTCTAAGCTCTGGTTGCTTAACAAGCTATTGAGTGTGTTTGTACTTAATTTTCTACATTGTTATATTTTAGATTCTACACCAGAACAGATAGTAACACACCCATGGAAGAACCTGACCCTTAGGGTGGTTAAGTGGCCTAAGAACACACTACTAATGAATGGCCAAGTTGAGGCTTGAGTTCTAGTTTATTGTCTCTTACCAGAAGTGTCATAGCGGTGGAGTCATGCAAGCCCTTTGGAGCTCACAGTGGGCCACAGATTGCTCCAGATGCTGGACATGGAACCACAGGACTTAATGTTTGCCCTGCTGGACCTTGGATTTGCTTTGGTCCCAATGCTTTATATCCTCCTGTTTGTACATTTTGGAATGGTAGTATTTATCTTGTGCCATTAAATGTTGGAAGTATTTAACTTTCCATTTGAATTGGGGCTTGCAGCTGAGAGTTTGTCTTATGTCTGCGAAGAGACTTGGTACTTGGACTTTGCAGCAATGCTGAAACTGTTAGGACTTGGTTTGGGCAACTCTTGCAGATGGACTGAAATGTGTTTTGCCTAAAGGGCATAAAGGGATGTGCATGAGTCTTTGGGAGGCCAGGAATGTTATGGTTTGTGTCTGAATGTCTCCCCAAAGCCTCATGCAGTCATGAGACAGACTTCTAGAGTTTATGATTGATTCAGGGTCCAATGTTGGAATTATGGGTGTGAGTGCTACACCTGCCCTGGGGAAGACAGTTTGTATACAGTGTAAAGGAGGGAAAGAGGCTGCTTGCCACCACTCCTCCCTTTGCACTCTTGTTGCTTTTGCTCTCTTCTGCGACCATGAATGGCTGCTCTGCGCCATGTGCCACTCTGCCTTGGAGCCAGCCAAGTATAGACTGAAACCTCCACACACTGTGAGCTAAAGAAATCTTTTCTTCCTTAATTTTGGGTGTCAGGTATTTTGTACCAGCAATGAGAGAAAAGTAATCAAGACAGTGTGTTTGTGCTTAGTTTTCTACATTGATATATTTTAGAGTCTACAGCAGAGAAGGTAGTAATACACCCATGGAAGAACCTGACCCTTAGGATGGTTAAGTGGCCTGTCTAAGGACACACTACTAGTGAATGGCCAAGTTGAGGCTTGAGTTCTAGTTCGTTGTCTCTTACAGGAAGCTTTCTCCTCTGGACCATTCTATTTTCTGATCTTCATCCATAAGTTATCTCTATGCATTTATCATCTAGGTAAAGTTTGAATTAAAGTCTGTCTTTTGTTCCTTGGTATTTCCCAGGTTGAGTCATTCATAGTCATTCTTTACCTTTACTAAAGATTTGGAGAACCTTGAGGAGAGATCTTTGACTCTATTTACTGTGGCCCTGCCACCTCACAGATAGGAAACCTGAAGTCTGAAGAGTATTGGAGATTTTCCAGTTGTGTTCAGCTCATTAGTAGTAATGCAAGTGGATAGTCTAGATCTTCTATGCATAGACTGTTTACAGTGTCATATCTGGGTTAAAATGAGCACATGCTTGCAAAGGAAAGATCTTTGAGTTGTTGGTAGTTACTAACACCAGTGTGTGAATTAGATCCTTCCAAATGGAAGATTATTAGGATTGCTAGGCAATCTGGTCTACCTGTCTCACAACTGTGGGTTGATAACTGCCTCATCCAGACCATCAAAATGTTAGCTGTCCATCGACAGAGTCTGTTACACATTCAGCTTTTCTCACTTAAATGTCTTTCTAGATAACACAGTGGTACTCTTTGCTCATGAAGATAGTAAATTTGTTTTATTTTGTGCTTCCTTTCCCCTAATATTTTTTTTTCTCACAAGATCTTGCAAGTATAAGATATTAGGGCTGAGGAAACTTTGGCTGAGAAAAAATGTGAATGAATGGACTTGACTGAGCATCCAACTCATCACTCTGCCTTCAGTAACACCCTGAAAAGCATCAGGAAATGACACTGATCTAATCTGGGCCAAGGCTCCTTGTATTTCTTGAGGCAGAAGTGAATTGGGGGTAACAAATGCTAGGTTATCCAGTAGATCAAATTTTTAGATGCTCTTTTACCTAGTTCCCTCTATAGTTCCCACCAGGACTGCTTCAAGGTCAGATGAACATCAAAATGTTAGAACACATTTTGGGAACCCCTGGATCACATTTTTAAAAATGTACATAACACAGTATTCCTTTTTGCATCCTTCTTCCCTCCATCTCTTTATCCCTTTCCCACTTGAGAAAGCTCTATCTCCCTATTTCCTATTGTCTATCTTTTATTTTACCCTTTACTTTTATAATTTGGGTTGCTCCTATGAGAGAAACCATGTAATACTTAAGCTCAGTTGTCTGATTTATGTCACTTAACATTATAGTCTCAAGGTGCAACCATTTTCCTGCAGCGTTGGCTGACGTCGTGGCACTCCTGCCTATCTTACAAGGAGCCCCTTGCCTAGGATTCACCACCCTCCTGAGCCTCGATAACTAAGCGACAGCTTCTCTTGGGATCAGAGTGTGTTTGTGCCAGCTTTCTACCCTGTGGTCAGTCTGGTGATTTAGAAATCTGCAGGAGCTGGGGGTGAGAGAGAGCACTGACTTAGCACTGAAGGTGTAGGAATCCAAGTGGAACCTGGACAAAGTGCTTGAGTCCCCTGTTTGATTTGCCAAGGAAGAGAATCCCTTCAATGTATTTCAAGATTAATCAAAAGCTTTTAAACACAGAATCACATAAAGTGATCATTTTAACTTCTTTCTGTATTGAGCTTAGACAAGCAGGTATTTGTTATTTACAGGCTTCCAACAGAAGGGGCATTTGTCCCTAAAAATTTATCAACAGTTTGGCATGAAATGTGAACAATGTCATGATTCCTGATATTTGGTTGCATTTTTTCTGGATGTGATAGAATGAAAATTGAGGCCAAGTTTTCATGGCAGGAGGTGTAGCTTTTAAATATGGAAACAAAGGATTTCTTTGTTAAAGTTCCTTTTCAGTCACGAGGCTGGAGAAACTGCTGCGTCAACGTTCAGGACTAAACAAGATTTTTTTTTTGTCTCTCAAAGGTTTGGAAGTAAGGTGTGGAGAATCGGAATTTATGAAGGCCCTGTTCCGTGGCTGAACATACTTGCACAGGGAATGTAAGAGAAAATTCTTGGCTTGGTGTTAAAGTTGCATGCAATCTAACTTTCTTAGGCAGATTGTTCATTGAAAGAGTGACTGCCATTTTATAAGTCCTGCTAGTATTTTGTTAAAAGAAAGGTTGTTTCCCACTGCATTTTGGAGGTAGGGGAAATGGCTTGAATTGTACCTATTTTACCTTATTATTTTGCCTTTATTCTAATTACATTGTGCATTTGTTGTTGGTTATTGCTGTGCTCTATCGGAGAGGATTATCCTCACAAGGAAGTGGTGTGAAGTATTGCATTTCGATTATTTTAAGTCCACACATATTTTTTTCACTTTTCTTCTTGCCTGGGTTCTGAGAGTGTGCTCCTTGGACAAAGGTATGTTGTGCTATATTTTTGCAGAGGAAAGCTTCAGGTCAGCTGTGAGCTACTAGGAAGTTATGATATCACAGAGTCCTGAGTTGGGCCTGGAAGGACTTTAAAGTTTGCCAAAGGAAAACAGATTCAAACCTGAGACTGTGTCGATGAGAGCTCTGATCATAATTTTCTCAGATCTATTCATCTCATCATCTGTTTCCTCCTTCTTTGGGGACGTTTATCTTAACTCAAAGCTGATGGAGAACTGTATGGGAGTCAGCTGAGTAGGGAATCCAGGAAAAATTAATCTATTTATTGCATGGCTGAGCTAGAAAGTCATGACAAAGTTGTTCATGTGAATAGTTACTTAAAGATAATACTATTTTATTTTTAAAACATATTTTTCCTATTTCCTAGAAAAATTAGAAGTTGAGTTAATACCCTTTTGGATAGTCTGGTGTCTAGGATTATTCTGTTCTGTTACCTTTCAGATTTATACTTCATTTTATTGAAAAGAAGTGATTTAAATGTTAATTCTTGCTATTTATAACGCACCTGTCAGAGTTCTGAGTGTCACTCCATACCACATTAGTCAACCAAAGAGCATGCTCTGAAGTTCAGTAATAGCTGGTGATTATTTATTTGGCTGTGTTTCAAAGCAATAACATCAAGTGCTTCAATTGCTTAATTTTTTAAAAATCATGCTAAGAATATAGAGTGATAATGTGGAATGAGAACCACAAACATCACATGGCCTCAGAGCTTACTTCTTAGAGGTGAGAATGTGAGGGCTGTGAAGGGTCTTAAGTCAAGCCACAGGACTGACTTGTGCTGGAGAGAAGGAAAAAGTCTTAGGCCTGCTAATGTTAACACGCGTTGTAAATTTCTAAGGTGGGGAAATGTTTTAATTTTGGAGAAATTTAATAAGCTACATTTCCCAATTGCTTGACCAAGAAGTTCCTTTTTGACTGAGCACCAGGGAAACAATAGTGGCCATTGACAACACTTTAAAAATGTTCTTAACTTGCCCATCCTTTAATCATAATATGCATTTTTTGATGAATGAAATGGGTTTAACAACTAGAGCATCAGACTTGGTCAGGATAGGTGGTCTGTGTCTGGAGAATAAAGAGGAAAGATGCAAATGAGAACTTGGAATACCAGCAGGAGTTGTGTGTATTGATTTCAGTAAAATGTTTGGGATTGTTGTCCTGAATCTTCAGAATAAAACATAGACTTGAATCCTAAAAAAGACAATTACGTATCATGGGGACCAGAGACAACTTAACATCTGACACGTAAGCTATAAATGAAGGCAGAGAATTAGAAACCTTTAGTTACAAGAATGAAAGCCTTCCATGGTGTGTGTGTGTGTATATATATATATATATATATATATATATATATTGCTGAACAATGGACCTTTTTTCACTGTGTCTCATTCAATAAGGCCTGCACAAATTATAATTATTGTGTCAGCTCCAGAGAATGCATTTCCAGAGTCACCATTTTATGTAAAGCTAAATTTATTCGTTTATTAAAAAAAGATACATCTAAGGCAAACACTCATTGAGTTTCAGTCCAAATTAACTTGGTCAAACAGAATTCATTACACTCCTATTAATTTCCTCTCAGAAACATGCTAGAGCTCTGAGGATGGAGATTTCCTTTGGCCACCCCGACGTGTATTTTTGGCACTTACATTGTGCCTGGCATAAAGTAGCTGCTCAGTACATCCTTACTGAATAAAGTAATTTAATTTATTGTATCAACTAGTTACTTTTTAACTGGATAGGTAATTCAGATTAATTCAGATGTGCATTTTAAACTTTAAACATACAGGAATGCATGATGAAAAGTTATGCTTATCCCATCTCAGGACTTCCAGGCTCTGCCACACAGTTCTGTACAGAAGCAACAATTGCACCCATTTCTATAATAGCCTTCTAGAATTCATATGCATATCTGAGCATATAAACATGTATATACAGATAAGCGCACATATATATAATGCAGTTGGACCTCCATATCTGCAGATGTTACATCCAGTGTCAACCGCTATTAGACATGGAATATTTTTTTAAAAATCCATACTGAATAGTGTACACTTTTTGTCATTATCCACTAAACACTATAGTATAACAACTATTTACATAGTGTTTACACTATATTAGGTATTATAAATAATCTAGAGATGATTTCAAGTATATGAGATGTATCGAGGTTCTACACAAGCGCTACACCATTTTATATAAGGGATCGAGATTCTGTGGATTTAGTGTCTGAGGGTGTTGTAAACCCCATGAATACCAAGAAGTAGTTGTATTTAGAAATGCACACATACTCATATCTTTTCTTTTTTTTAACTGAGTTAAATCATACTACATTGACTGTTCTGCTTTTATGAACATATTTTGAGAATTGCCTCCTGGTAAACAAAAATTGAATCTCACTGACATTTTACTTTTCCTTTCTTCATGTTTGGGGCTGACCATCTTTTCATATGTTGATAAGTCATTTTTGTTTTCTACAAACTGCCTCTTTAAATTCTTTGTCAAATTTTTCTATTGGTTTAATGGTCTTTTATAACTGATTTCTAAGAGGTCTTTATGAATTAAGGAAATGAGCTCATTGTCATATGTTTTGAAATATTTTTACCAGTTGATCATTTGTTTTTTGACTTTATATGGTATTATACTTTTCTGTGCAGAAAACAAATAAAACAAAACTTTTTATGTAGCCCACTACACTAATCTTTTTGGAATTTGGGTCTTGTGTATTGTTTAGAGAAGTCTTCTTGTCTCCCCAAAGAAATAAATTCTCCTACATTTTCTTTTAATATTTTCATGATTCTATTTTGTGAATTCAAATATTTGATTCACCTTTAATTTATTTCAGTGAAAGGTAGCTTTATTTGATGTTTTCTAGATGGTAATTCAGTTGAAAAAAGACTCAGGCCTTTACTGATTTGAAATGCCATTTGTGTTACATTTTAAACTTTTATGAGTTTAAGTGTTCACTTAAAACATTAAATTTATTTTTATGGGAAATTATAAACTTTTAAAAATAGGTAGGAACATAAAATGAAATCCCAGTGTTCCCATCATTTAGTTTCAGAACTTTTAACAAAATCAAGCTTGTCTTTTCTCTACATTAGTTTGAAAAAATCATATCTGTCATATCATTTTCAGAAGTTCTAGTACATATGGCTGTAGTTTGTGGCACCCCAGAGATAAACTCTGAGACAAAGATTTTAATGAAAACCATGTATTTGGAAATACATGTCAGGAAGTAGGAAGATGAGGGAGGAAAAGGAAGGAAGTCAATACAAGGAACATAAAGGAACATGTGCTCTACTGATGTATGCATGCTGCTGAACTGGAATATATATTCACTAGCTCTCAAAGTGGTCGGGTGAGCGGTGCTTGTTGGTGGGATTGGAATGGATATCTGTATGAATTCTTCAGGTCTTGAAGTCTACACTTGGGGCTTCAAGGACCACAGAAAGCCCCAAGCAAAGGCACACAAGTGCTGGGAAGTGGAAATTGGGCAGGTGTCCAAGGCAGCAGTAAGAACCAAGGACATTTTGATGCAGAACTGAGGGTCTGCTACTATCTCCTTTTAAAAAACAAAATCACAGTACCATTATTGCAAATAAAAAAACCCCCAAGTTCCCCAGTAATATCAAATAGTGTTCAAATTTCCATGATTGCTTGATATATTTATTTTCTTTTCACACAATTCATATATTATAATTGTTAATATACTTTAAATTGCTTTTAATTGGTAGTTTTCCTATCTCTTTTTAAAGGTATTGTTAAGCACATATTTTTCTCTGATAATAAAGTAATGGGAAAAATAAAGGACCCAAATAACAAGACACAATTTCAACTGTATAACTTGGAAATAGTAAGGATGTTGTTTCAAATTTTCCTGCTTAATTGCTTCCCCCAAAATGAAAAATTAATCTCTACAAAGGAAAATAAAAAGACTTCCACATTTTTGGAATAATAAAACTGGTGATTACAGGGGGCAAAAATTAAATAATGTAATTTTGTTTCTATTTTTTATATCTTTCTGTTATTCTATGTTCTGTGATCTTTGCTTCTATTTTTTATATCTTTCTGTTATTCTATGTTCTGTGATCTTGAGAATGCCTGTGAATACATGGAAAAATCTGATTTACTAAAGGACAATGTCATTTAATTCATTTAATCAATTAATTAAATGAATTTAATTCATTTAATCAATTTCTAAGAACTGACATGGATTTGTATATTTTCTTCAGTATATTTATGAATAGAAACAGCTGCTTGTATGATGATACACATTATTAAACAGTGGTATGTTGATTCATGAATGCTTTTGTTTGCAAAGAATTTGGTTCACAAACAGAAGCATTTGGCAAAATTTTGCTTTTGTTTGTGAACTCTGCATCAGGTGATGAACGTGACCTTGGCCATCTTTCCCACATAAAGATGAACGTGGCCATCTTTTCCACATTAAATTTGTGAAATGAGGTACTACTATAGAGGTTGTGTTGATAGCAGTATTTTATTTTTTAATTAGCATACTGTATATATATAGCATTATGTAAATTTGGTGAACTGAAGATACAGTAATGCTCAAAATATACTGCATTAAAATATAATTGT